TCATTTCCATGATACCAAGTGGTTCTTACAATATACAAGGAGTTACAATAGTCCAAACGTGATAAAGCAAAAGCATGTATGACTCTTTCAAGATCTTTAAAAGAAAGAAAATATCTAACTTTTGACAGAAGTTTAAGATGGAAAAAACATTACTTAACTACTGAGTTAATATGTTGGTCAAACTTAAGGGAGGAACCAAAAAGAACTCCCAAATTTTTCACCGTTGGTTTGATATAAGAGTTTAAATGACCACAGTTAAAATCTGGTTTTCCTTTACCCACAGAGGGTCCAAAGACAATTGCTTTAACGCCCATTACCATAATTATTTTTTTGCTCCAGAGGGTTAGTTGTAAACAACGATGCTATAAGGTTACAAAAATGGCATCGATATTTCCTTATCAATTAGAGCCCGAGTCCGAGGATGATATCAATGCAGTCGCTCAACCGGAAACTCCATCTCAAGCACGACTTGATCAGGACATTTCTCAGTGGTAAGTTTAAACTTTGCATGTGGCACTTTACATGATGTGACAGCAGTTTTATTGCATTCATTAATATTTTTATTTACTTATTTGAGCTGCACGTGTGGGAACTGTGTTAGAATGCCCAGTGAGGCTGAAAACACAGCATCTTCTCCACATGATGTAAACACACTAACTAGCAGAAGTGTTTGTGGGCAGGTCAGAGTGTTCATATTTTGCGGGCAGGCAGGGATTATGGTAATGTGTTACCTTGTGATGTATATAGGTAACAGGCAGAAGATTAGAAAATATGACGACTAGGGGTGGGCGATATAGCCTCAAAATTATATCATGATATTTCAAGAATATTTGCGATAATGATATTTATGGTGATATAGCAAAAAATATGGAACAACGTTTTATTGGTGATTGCAGCTGGCAGGCAGCAGCATTTATTAGTGCAAACACAGTGAAGGGCATTTTCCATCCTTTTCCAATAAGCTACTGTCATCGATGACAGACTACCTAATTTGAAGTGTAAATCTATTGTCATAAGGTGGCAGAAGCAGCATTATAGTTTAATAGTAGTGACCAGTGTTGGGCAAGTTTACTTTAAAAAAGTAATTAGTTATAGTTACCATAGCTACTTCTCACAAATAGTAACTGAGTTACATCATTATCAAAGTAACCAATTATCAGGGAAAGTAACTATTTTGGTACTTTTTTTTTATGGGCAAGTTTACTTTAAAAAAGTAATTAGTTATAGTTACCATAGTTACTTCTCACAAATAGTAACTGAGTTACATCATTATCAAAGTAACCAATTATCAGGGAAAGTAACTATTTTGGTACTTTTTTTTTATATATATCAAATAACTTGGATGCCTCCAATATTAAATGTTAAATGAACAAAATGATCACTACATGGAACAAATTATTATTTTTAAACATTGTACACTAATACAAAACAACAACTTAAAAATACTTATTTAACACTGAACTTTTTTTTAACATTCTAGCAGACATTATATCAATAAAGCACAATTTTAACTTAAAATTAATAAGGTAGTAAAATAACATTTTGATATTTTCGATATTACACTTTTTTTTTATCATGTAAAAATGTATACCGGTGTTATCGTGGACGGTATGATATGGTACACCCCTAATGACGACTCATCAAGGCAGATCAGAGTCGACTCTTTCTTTTGAAAGACAATATCTTTATTTATCATGCACTTTTATTAATTAACAACTTTGCAGACTGTTTACATTGAAGGATAGCTACGTTATAAACTGCAAAAAATATGTTTTTCGAAAACTCATATGACCTGCTCTTTAACACCGCTTACTAACTGCAAATCAGAAAATATAGGAGTGGCTCTCTAGAGATGGGTAATCACTGGAAACTCTCAGACAAGTATTATGGCAAGTATAGTACTTTTAATTAAATTTTTCCCCAAAAGTAGGGTAAGCGTACCTATTAAGCTCACGTACCCATTAAGCACACTTCCATTTTTGAGCTCAGATTATAAAAAGAAAAAATTGTGTATTATCATACTTGATGTCTTAACCAATTGACGTGTTTGTTACTTTGTACCTCCTGTAATTTTAAGTCAATCAGATCATTGCACACCGAGATATGAGTCTCCATGTGTTCACACTGTCTGCCGGCCATTCTGAAAGCTGTCTGAAAACTTTCACCAAACGAGGAGCACTTTAAATTTGCATTTTTTAGATGTTTAAGCCTTTATTTTGGGTAAATTTCACTACTTACTGTAAAATTAAGAGATTAATGTTGAGACTTTTGCATATTATAACCTGGAACTTGGATGTGGGAAATAATTACAGTTAGATCCAAAAGATCATTTTAGCAACATTGTGCAGATGCTACAGAACACAGTTAGCTGACTGGCTGTATAAGATTGTGTGCTACGCTAATATATTACTTCACATGCATTACTGGTTTGCACTTTTACATCCATAATATTATAAATTGACAGTTTATTGCTGGTCTGTAGTTTTATACTGCTGTAATTTTTAAAGATTTCATATTATTTTAAGGTGAGCTTAAAGGGTACACTACTCTGAAAATCACACAGCTTCAGTGTGACATCAATAAGAAAAAGTATAATTTCATACATATTGTTAATAATAGTTGTTCATAATAAAATATGCATGAACTTAATACATGACCTAGATTATTTATTTTGCAAAATCTTGTCATTTTAATACATATTACATGCAATTTATTTAAAATTGTTGCTGCTCCAATTAAGCTCAGTGTGCTCTCTTTAAGCTCTTCCACAATGAACGTCTATGTAAATACTTAATAAACAGACTTTAAATATAAACTGATGGTTGTCACTTTAAGTTCATCTTTATAAAATGTTTAATAACTTATTTTCACAGCTTTAAGATGACAAAATCTAGATGTAACTATAGTTTATGCCCAAAGATGAAAGAGGCATGTCGTCCATTCAAAGAAGGAGCCATCAGAAACCTGTTGCATCTGTCCAGGAAAAAAGCAACTAAAGGTTGGAATAAAATACACGACTGTGTATTGTGTGTTCATCCTCATGAATTAAATGTTTTATTGGTTTCTTTTATTTGATATTTGAATATGTGCTACTTAGCTGAATGTGGACTAGTCTAAATGTTGCAATGTGCTTAAATGACACTTCACTATGAATATATAACTAATCAAATTGAATGCCTTGTTGCTTGATTTTAGTGTTCTGTTTTTTTTTTGTGATTGACTTTGTACCTTTAAATAAAATATTTTTCAATTATTCTTTCAAAAGGTTGTTTAAAATAAACAAGATTTTTTAATTAAACATGATGTGAGCTTATTGGGAACAGGGGTGTGCTTAAAGGGTACAAAAATGTACCCTTTAAGTGTCATGTAATGTATATCTTAATTGAAATGCTTTTGTCATTTAAAATAAAATTAAATATTTTTGTGTGAGAGATTAATATTTTATTTTAACAACTTTTTGTACTGAAACCAATATCTTGTGCACTAAAAATGTCTCAATGTAGATTTTGGTGAGCTTAATAGGTACGTTTACCCTATGTTGTAGGCCTTTTAAAATATATATATATAAAAAATAAACTCCATTAAATGTGCTGCACACATCTGAATATTTGGGTTGAACTGTTCTGGAACAGTGTTGTAAATACAACTTAACCACTGATTTCTAGTCGTGTCCATTTTTGGAAGGCCAAACAAAGTAGTTTCACTTTCACAACGAAGCACACAGCATCTTTACGACATGGCGGCAGAAACAACAAAACTACAGCGAGAATAAAAGTTACGCCTTCTTTCTTTGCGTGAACCTTTGGGCGGCGTTATGCAAATCTTCCCACATAGTGACGTAGACATGTGGGGGCGGGTTAGAACGAGCCGTTTTAGGTAGGTGTGGCTGACTCTTAACTTTTATAAAGAATATCTCTTTGGATTTGAGACTTTAGTCTATGCAACTTTACAGATCTTCTTTATGCACCAAGAGCTTGTAACACTCCAAAGAGAAAGGAAAAAATGAAATCGCATCAAATGACCCCTTTAAAAAATAATTGTAAACCTGGCAGGACCGCTGCTGGCCAAATGCAGAACTGTATTGTGATCTGAGCAATCATTAAAGCTACATATCATCTCTACATGACTCCGGGTACTCTAATAGGAACACTGTAGCAGTTAGTACACTCCAAACCAGCATTTAACTCCTAATTTAGAACAAGTGGTTTTCACCTTCGCTTGGCATTCTAATACAGTTCCCACACATGCACCTAAATAAATTATAAGAATGACGCTGCAATCACATCTTATAACTACCACAAACTAAGTTGACACTGACCACTGAGAAACATTCTGCTCCAGTCGTGCTTTCGAATCAGTGTCTGGTTGATCAACTAAACGTTTCATCATCAGACTCAGGCTCAAATTTATAAGGTAAAATCGATACCATATTTTCTCTTTATAAATTCTTTCCGGAGTTGTCATTCAGTTATGGAAATGGGCATTTAGTTTCCGACACACTCTGTATGCGGTAGACCAATAACAAAGGACTTGAGATCTGCTCAGATCTGAGCCACTAACTTAAAAATAGACTGACTTGGACTGACAATACAGCTCTGCAAAACATAAAGGGTGGAAGTGCTAATGGTGTGTATTGGCCTGTGTGGTGTCTTTAAATACACACATTTAACCACAAGTTTCAAAAGTGTAGTGCAAACTGACTAGCATGTTAAAGTGCACATCAGTTGGCAGAATGCTGAAAGGTTGAACTAAAAACAAGTGCTAAATATTTAGTATAGAGAAATAGTAGGGTAGTGGGTATTTTACAGATCTCAGTGGTTACTGAGGTTAGTTTCTACATGAACATAAATAAATAATTAGCTATTTCTCCTGATTTGCTCTCTGAGAAGCAGAAGTGTTTAGTAAGATAGGGGTGGGATCAGTGAAATGCGGAACTGTAGTAGTTCTGTTCACACAGAGCTAGTGTCTGTCTGACTCAGAGAACATGTGAAGAGCAACAGAGATGCACATCACGGACATCGATCAATGAAAGAACAGAAATGCTGAGATCACTGCTTGATTTCACACTTGGTAAACAGTTTTTAAATTGATACCATTTAATTTATTATTATATTAAATGATATACACTGTTTTAAATGATTAAAGGGGTCATATGATGCTGCTAAAAAGAACATTACTTTGTGTATTTGGTGTAATGAAATGTGTTCTGGAACAGTGTTGTAAATACAACTTAAACACTGATTTCTAGTCGTGTCCATTTTTGGAAGGCCAAACAAAGTAGTTTCGCTTTCACAACAAATCACACAGTGCCTTCACGACATGGCGGTGGCGGCAACAATACTACAGCGAGAATAAAAGTTACGCCTTCTTTCTTTGCGTGAACATTTGGGCGGCATTATGCAAATCTTCCCACATCGTGACGTAGATATGTGGGGGCATGTTAGAACGAGCCGTTTTAGGTAGGCGTCGTTAACTCTTAACTTTTATAAAGAATATCTCTTTGGATTTGAGACTTTAGTCTTTGCAACTTAACAGATCTTCTTTATGCACCAAGAGCTTGTAACACTCCAAAGAGAAAGGATACATTTAAATCGCATCATATGACCCCTTTAAATAATCATTAATATAAATTAGAAGGGTTCCTATTCAGTCTTTTTACAAATACATGAACTCTATATATCATCGAAAGCAGTGTTGTCCTGCATAAAAAGCAGTTTTTATTGCAAACAAATTTGTCTTATGTTATCAAAGAAAATGTAAGACAGCAAAAAAAAAAACTACTTGCTTAATTCTTCAACATAACATGTTTGTGATAAATTCTATTCTAATGAAAAGAATTCCTTATGTTTTGACTCATGGTTTTGAATGAATACCTAAATGTTTCTACTCTATATTTTTGATAAAGGTTGAGTGAATGGTTCACTCAAAATTTGAGCAAATCTGAATTACTTAATTTTTTCTGTGGAATACACAAAGAGAAATGAGAAAAAGGAGAAATAACGAAAACTGTGCTGGTAATTTTTTCCATGCAATTATAATGAAAGTAGACTTTTTAAGCTTTCAAGCTTAAAAAAATGCAAAAAAATAAAGTTGTCCATACAGCTTATGTGTTGCATTCCAGGTCTTCTGAAACCATGCAGTACCTTTGTGTGAGGAACATACTGAAATTTGAGTCGTTATAAACTGAATTCCAGTAAGCTGTTAACTGCCATGATCATTGAGTCAGAACTTGACAACTGCATCAGTCAGATTCATGAGTTTGTTAATTTGTTTGTTTATTTATTTGGATCCTTGTTAGCTATGACCTAAGGCATTGCTAGTCTTCCTGGGGTCCACACAACACTTAACATTAATACATTGTTACATACATTAAAAAATAAAAAGTTAAATACATTCTCCACATTCCAAAGCATCTCCATAAACATTTCTTCCTCCCTTTTAATAACTATAACACCTACTATCTAAAAAAAACATATTGCTTATTCAATTAATTCCTATACCTCAACCTCCTATAAGTACAGAATTCCAAGGTGTGCCTTTACCTGCCTTTTAAAATAAATGTTTCGTGTTATCCTAATTAATGACAATGGTAAAAGATTCTATGATTTCATTGCCCTAAATGTTACTGTACGTTTAAGAAAATTAGTTTTAGCATTCGGGAGTAGAAATCTACCCTCTGTTGCTCGTCTAGTAGCATATTCATGTGACTGAACATTAGATTGTAATTGATTATACTGATCCAATGGCGTTTTAAAATGTAAAACCTTCCATGTTAATAACAATATTGCAGCAATCATCCTATCTTCCACTCTTAGCCATTTAAGATCACATGATTTCATTGCCCTAAATGTTACTGTACGTTTAAGAAAATTAGTTTTAGCATTCGGGAGTAGAAATCTACCCTCTGTTGCTCGTCTAGTAGCATATTCATGTGACTGAACATTAGATTGTAATTGATTATACTGATCCAATGGCGTTTTAAAATGTAAAACCTTCCATGTTAATAACAATATTGCAGCAATCATCCTATCTTCCACTCTTAGCCATTTAAGATCACAGTGCATACTATTAATATTCGTACCATAGTGTAACGGGGCTGACAAGACGTGAGACGTGTGGATCCATCTGCAAGCTTTATTTAAAGAGATGTGGTATAACAGGCAGGGTCGACCAATGGCAAACAGGTATATGGCGGGCAGAAACACAAGAATAATCCTAGGGCTAGCGTAGGTCACTGATTGGCAGACAGAATCACAGGGGCAAGACAAGAGGGAGAAATCCAGGAAAACAGGCAAAGATCAGATACCGCAAAAACAGGCAAGGCAAAACAAGGAAAACACGGAGACTCGGAAAGGGGTACAGGCTAAACAAGGAAACTCGGAACGGGGAACAAACTAAGGACTCTCGGAACGGGGAACAGGCTAAACCATACTCAGCAGAGAAAGGTGGTTAGAGTGGGTGTTATATAGTGAGTGAGGTGATTAGAAACAGCTGTGTGCAATGAGTGCAAATCGTGCAAGGAATGATGGGATATGTAGTCCGGGGTGCTATGCAACAGTTTGAGTTGTGCGAGAGTCAATGTAAAGGAAAGGGTGACCTCTGGTGGTGAATAAACGGAAGTCCATGGACCGAATTCGTGACACATAGGGACACTGGAGTATTGACCTCGCTGCCTTATTTTGTACCAACTGGAGTTTCCTCAAATCCTTTTTTGTAGCATTGGCCCATAAATCTGACAATAGTCCAGCTGTGTGAAGAGAGTGTACAAAATTATTTTTATTATATCAAACGTAAAATATTGTCTACATCTCCTTACTACAGCTACCACCCTTCTCTTCACTGTGTTCTCAATATGCTTAAACCATGACAATTTATTATCCAGGGTGATACCCAAACATTTTGTTTCCGGCTTAAAGGGGTCATATGATGCTGCTAAAAAGAACATTATTTTGTGTATTTTGTGTAATGAAATGTGTTTATGCGGTTTAAAGTAAAAAAAAAACATTATTTTCCACATACTGTACATTATTGTTTCTCCTCTATGCCCCGCCTTTTTGAAACGCGTCGATTTTTACAACACTCATCGCTACAAACGAGGCATTTGTTGCATCCAGTGAGGACATAATTACAGATTATAATGACTTATACTGTCTTTTTACGCATTGCGTTGCATCGCGCCGCGTAAACATAAAACCATGTCTGCATTTGTGATCGGAGAAATTACAAACTACAAATGCTACTCTACACTGCCCAAAACTTGCGTTTGAATCATCAGTGGCAAATCCTTTAAATGAAAACGTACTTACAGACTGTGAGTCAGAACTGCCGGCATTGTAGTCTACTCTCCCAGGATCAGTAAACAGTCCTCCATAAAATGTGCTGCACACAAATGAATATTTTGGTTGAACTGTTCTGGAACAGTGTTGTAAATACAATTTAACCACTGATTTGTAGTCGTGTCCTCTTTTGGATGACCAAACAAAGTAGTTTTGCTTTCACAACGAAACACACGACAGCCTAGCGTGAAAGGAAACCGCGGCCTAGCGTGAGCTGAGTCCGGGCTAAAGTGAGCAGAGGCAGCGGGCTTGAGAACGGCGCGGCCGGCGGATTCGACGAAGGAGCGGCAACCACATGTGATGACCCCGGACTGAACTCCGCTTCGTCCACGGTGAAAGCCGATCCAGTGATCCACAGCACTAAGTTGATGTATTCCCTCAGCGACCAGCACAGATCAGCTCTAGGCATGACGAAGCGAATATCGTCCTCTTTTGGAAGACCAAACAAAGTAGTTTCGCTTTCACAAAGAAACACACAGCTCTTCACGACATGGCGGCGGCAACAATACTACAGCGAGAATAAAAGTTACGCCTTCTCTCTTTGCATGAACATTTGGGCGGCGTTATGCAAATCTTCCCACATAGTGATGTAGATATGTGGGGCCGTGTTAGAACGAACCGTTTTAGGTAAGCGTGGTTAACTTAACTTTTATAAAGAATATCTCTTTGGATTTGAGACTTTAGTCTTTGCAACTTTACAGATCTTCTTTATGCACCAAGAGCTTGTAACACTCCAAAGAGCAAGGAAAAATTGAAATCGCATCATATGACCCCTTTAACTTGCTGAATAATTGCTTTATTTATATATCATTTCAGCTCTGGTTTGGACCGTAGAGAATAATTAGACCCAAATATTATACTCTAGATGTATTTAGTATCAACTTGTTTTCTAAAATCCACTTTTCTATACTCTCCAACTCCTCATTCAAAATAGCTGTCAATTCACCCGCCATTTGTGCTGATGCATAAACTGTTGTATCGTTTGCATACATTACTTTAGCACTTCTTAATACCAGATATAAATCATTTGTGAAAATGGAATACAAAAGTGGTCCTAAACAGCTCCCTTGTGGAACTCCACATTCAATTGCCCTTCTATCTGAGTAACGTCCGTAAAAAAAAAAACTCTCTGTGATCTATTATCCAAATAACTTTCCATCCAAGCAATTACTGATGGTCTAAATCTATAACCTTCTAATTTTTCCAAAAGAAGCTTTTGATCAATAAGGTCAAATGCAGCTGTAAAATCTAATAAGACTGCTCCACATATCCTTTTTTTATCCAACCCTCGATACCAATCATCTGTCATTTGTGATAAAGCTGTACATGTGGAGTGTTCTTTTCTAAAAGCATGCTGATAATTTGATATCAGATTATTCTGAGACACATAATCCTGTATTTAATCAAATACTGCCTTCTCGAGGATCTTACTTAACACTGGTAATACACTCACCTGGCGACTATTAGAGCCACTAAATTGTATTTTTCTATCTTTAGTCAAAGGCATAATTTTAGCTTCCTTCCAGGCCTGTGGAAATATTGATTGCTTAAGACTTATATAAAAATATGACGTATTGGGCCAGACACATAATCTATGGCTAATCGGATCAGATTATCATTTATATTATCTATCCCTGGTTGTTTGTCTTTACAGACAGATTTTATTAGCCTTTTCACAGTTTCTTCTCCCAATTCACTAAACTCAAAATAACAGTTCTTATCTCTCATATATTT